GTGGTAAGAAAAAATATATGTGGTTGTAGGTAGGCAACCAACTATACATATACATGTGTGCAGTAATGTAGTGAAAAAGGCTTAAGTATAAGGCCCTTTATGTTTCTCAAACATTTGGTACCCAGAAAATAGAAACTAGACACATGTGGGAGGTTGAGTTCTAGAAATTTTATTGTTAATGGTTAGATATGAATGTATTTATTTAAAATTGAAAGTGCTCTTGAATGAATAAAATAAAACTTTTTTAGTATAATGTTCACATGATATTTAACTTATAACTTAATTATATTAGAGCCAAATAAAACAAAATTTAATCTTTCTTTATGTCTTGAATAAAGTTATTGTATTTATGGCTGTACCTCATGTAGGATGTACAACAGTTGGAAAAATTATTAGTTGACAAAAAATTCTTGGACTTGGAAAATTAGTTGATAAGAAATTCAGTTAAGTTACTCAGAGTAGGTAATGTGATCTTGTCGTTTTTAATTAACAGTTCCCATTCTTTGTAATAAAGAAATTGGCCGCTGGAGACCATATACTGCAAAAAGGTCAAGAGGTCGACCACAAATGAGATGGAAAGATGACATTGAGCAAAGCGCAGGTCCAATGTGGAAAAGACAAACAGAGGACAGAGACAAATGGAGACAAATGGGAGAGGCCTATATTCAATACATGAATATATTTTGGGCTATAGATTCTTTGTATGTAGCATTGTCTAGTTTTGTGGTGATTAGATATATCATAAGGGCATCCCAAGATGTTGTGTCTAAGTTTAAGGACTCAAGATAGCGTAAATGTCTCCACCATTCAAGGAAACCATCAAGTAAAGTGCTTAAATCATGATGTGAATTTTTTTAAACATTTGATAAGTTAAATAATTTTTTAATATGATTATTAACAAGAAGTGATTTGTTTTGGAATCTGTCTTTTAGTAATTCCCATGCAGTTTCATATGTTGTCTCAGAAATGTCGAGGTTACGTATTGTTTCTGCGGCAATACCGTGTAAGGATAATCTTAGGTAATGGAATTTATGAATGTTGGAAAGTTCCGTGTTGGTATGTATGATAGAATTAAATGTATCTCTAAAGAACAACCAATTATCATAATCACCCTCAAAGAAGAGCAAGTTGATAGCGGGTAACCTAATGTTAATAGACCTTTGTGAACTGGTTTCGGATGAAATTGTCGAATTTAAAGGCGTTTCGTTCTGATCACGGGGTTTTGAAAGATTGGCGTCAATAAAGCCTCGCACAGCGCTAGTGATATGGAAAAACGGCGTTTCTAAAGACGACCTTTCTATACCATGGATAGTATCTGCGTTGGCAGTATAGTCCTCATCAGAGGCCTCAATAAGTGATTGAGCGTTGTCAAAATCATCAAAAAGTTTCTCAATTCTATCAAGTCTAATGTTGAGTTTTTATTAATTCTAATTTATTTACTTTATTTCTCTTATTCTAAATCATTAAAACACAATAATTTTTATCAATTTATTAAATCACTTATTCGTTACAACAATTTATTTTCGACTAACTGTTTACATAAAATGTCCCATATATACCCAATACCGTTAGACTAGAACCCTGGCGAAGAGTCGATGACCTTCTCGACTAGTATGTAAGGTAAACAGTGGCGGGATTACGAACACTCGATGCGAATCGTATCCGCCATGTTTTTCGGAAGGGATTGATTACGAACAACTCGTCACGTTTTCGTATCGACTCAACTGGAAGAAACCATACGATACCTACAGCGCTATCGAATCGCCAATTCGATGTTAGTGTCTCTTTTTAAATACTCTCTCTCTCTCTCTCTCTCTCACTCTTCTAAAATTCGAATCTATTTGTTCTGTAGACAGCGACATAATAAAAATTCGTTAAAATAAAAATTTTCTTGGGTTTACCATTAACGTTTTTCTTCTGTACTTTTCTTGTACTTTAATTATCATGTCTTTTAAATTACCAGAGGGTCATTGGAACGTACCTTTAGAGTTTATGGAGCAGCATAAAGAATTTGCAAAAGGTCAGTTCTCTGGTCCCACTGGAAGAATAATTCAAAAAAAAAATTTGGGAAGAGCTTGCTCAACTATTAACTTCACTTGGCGAAGGAAGTAAGCCTGTTGAGAAATGGCAAAAGGTTAGATTCAATATATCAAAGTATGGTTTTTCCATTAATTATTTTTATGTATTTTTTTATTATAGACTTGGTCAGATATTAAATACTCAATTAAAAGGAAATCTTCTGCGAAAAAGCAAGATATTGCAGCCACTGGTGGAGGCCAAAAGTGAAGCTCGAACTAAACCAACTAGAGTAACGGGTTGTCAATATATTAGGAAAAACTTTTTCTGAAGGAGTCAGTGTATCTGAGTGTGGAGTATGTATCAATCACATGTACATGTTTGTTATTTATTTATTATATATATATATATATATATATATATATATATATATATATATATATATATATATATATATAGTACAGGTTGTTTACAACTGTCGTTGTTTTCCTGTCCCTAGTTTCCATCGTTTCCTATCTCGGGTGTCGGCTTCATTTAGCTGCCTTCCTTCCATGGCTTCATTCACGTCATCTCGCCAGCTTCTTCTTGGACGCTCTCTTTTCCTTCTTTCGGTTGGGATCCATTTTAATATTTTCTTTGGCCACCTCTCGTCTGCCATTCTGTTTACATGACCGAACCAAGTTAGTTGTTTTTTCTGGACTTCATCTATAATGTCTTTTTCTTGCTCCATTCTACGTTTTATTTCTTCATTGCGGATTCTGTCCATCCTTGTCAATCTACAGCTTCTTTTCATAAAATCCATCTCGGTAGCTTGTAATTTTTTCCTGTTTCTTTTACTAGTGTCCCATATCTCTGCTCCGTATGTTACCACTGGCTCAACCATCGTCTTATATATTCGTTTTTCGTCGTTCTTTTGTTTATTCTAATGTTTATGCCTTTGTTTATTCTTGTATTTATTTCTTCATGGCTATTTCCGTCTTTTGTAAACACTACTCCTAGGTATTTTACTCTATTTGTTCCTTTGATTTTGTCACTCTCCAATGTCAGGTCTTCGACTGTATTTTTCCCCACTGAGAGATATTCGCATTTTTGTAAGTTCATTGTCAGTCCACATTCTTCGTACGCTGTTTGTAGTTTCCTAACCATATAGCTGGAATCGTCTATATCTTCTGCTACCACCAGTTGGTCATCAGCGAAGAATAGTGTATAGAGAATATCCTCGTCTATTTGTATTCCCATATTTCTGCATTGTCTTTGCCACTTTTGTAGAGATCGGTCCAGATATATTTTAAACAGCGTAGGTGATAAACAATATCCCTGTCGTATCCCTTTCATAGTGTTGGATTTCTCACTAAGCTTGCCACCTATTTTAATTGATGCGGTGTTGTTTACATACCACTTTTGAGTTGCTATTATTAACGAAGGTTTTATTTCCATGTTTTGCATTTCACTCCATAAATTATTTATCGGCACGTTATCATATGCCTTTTAAAGATCTATCAGGGCTATATGTGTTTCTTTGTTGTCGCTTTTCGATTAATATTTTAAGTGTAAATAGATTATCTATAGTCGATCTTCCAGCTCTGAATCCGCATTGTTCTTCTGGTTGTTTCATACGAATGTCTTCTTCTATGAGGTTTCTAAGTATTCGGGAGTACAGTCGTCCTATAGTGGGGATGACAGCAATTCCTATATAGTTTCTGACATTGTTTCGTGCTCCTTTTTTGTATATTGGGGTTATATAGTCCTCACGCCATTCTAACGGGGTCTCTTCTCCATTCAGGCATCGTTGGAACAGATCTTTGAGCATTTCCCACAGTTTAGCTGAGCCGTATTTAATAAATTCTGGTGAGATGTTTCCTGGGCCTGGCGCTTTTTTAAGTTTAAAAGATCTTATCGCTTCTATGATATTTGTCATGTTCAATTCAATGAATTCTGATCGTATGTCTCTGTTTGCATTTTTGTATTGAAAATTTTGTCGTCCTTCTCCTAGTAACTGTTTAAAGTAGTGTACCCAGTCTTTTTCTGTTATGTTACTTAAATCTAATTTATTGTTGGTTGACGTTTTCATAGATTTTAGCGTTCTCCAGGCTTCTGAACTTTTCGATCCTCCAATCATTTGTTCTATGTATTCGCATTTCTTTTCCCAAGATCTATTTATTTATTAAGTATACTAAATATTTAAAAAATTTCAGATTCCGTCCACCAGTGAAGATGATTTCCTATCCACCTCTAATGTTGTTTTCCCCCAGAATAGTTTGGAAGACACAACTATCCATTTACCGGTATGTAACTACAATGTGGGATGTTCTGTATACCTACGTAAGTCATATTATTTCACTGATAAATTCTCAATATTTTTTCTAGGTTGCTTCTACAAGTAGTATTCAGACATCTAAATTTTCTGAATTTAAACATAAATCTATAGAGTTAAGATCTGTACATGCACCTATACCAAGTCATCATGTAAATATTTTTTACAGGCTTCTGACCATGGATATTCTAAACTTCCCCATCCAAAAAAAGGAAAATACAAGATGTTAAGAATGAGCTAATGCAGGAGAGTTTGGCTGAAGTAAGGGAAATAATAAAATTAGAGTTAAGGAAGCTTAACAAAAGCATGTCAAGCATTGCCAATTCATTAGTAGAACTAGTGGCAAAAAAGTGTAAATACAATTAATTTTTTGTGTTTAATTTCTGTTTTTTCTTTTTGCTTGGTATTCACCCAGGTTATCTTCAATTTTGGCATTAATTCTATTTCTGATAGATATAAAGACTACTTTACCATAGTTATAAAGAAAATATATTTGTTTTAATTTTTATTTAATCATTTAAGTTTAATATTAGTATATACTTTAAGGCTGCTTTTAGAGTCACACTGACCATTGGCGCTGACAGCTCCGCGCGTAGTTTGTCAGCGCCGAGGGTCAGAGCGAGACGTTTCAGTATCGTGCTGATCGCCGCGTAGTACAAACAGGCACAAAATGCGAAGAGAAATAATCATTGCTGCTTTATACTGCATATCGAAAAGAAAGAAAAAACTGCGACGAAGACTTTATGTTCATCCTTTGATTGAGCAGAGAGCCGTCGCCGGAGAATTTGTTACGTTATACGGTACTCTGAGGGCTGACGAAACAAAATTCTTTAATTACTTTCGAATGTCAACTAGCACTTTCGACGAATTACTGGCGAAGACCGGCGATAAACTGATCCATGCCAGTGTACGACGAATGCCTATACCACCGATTGAAAGACTGATGGTGACTTTAAGGTAAGAAAAAAACATTTATTGTAATTATAATAATGTTTAATATTCATAGGAAAGAACATTTTTTATTGATCATTACGGCTAGTTGTTTGATAATCAGAGTAACCTGGAGTCTCATCATTGGTTTGATACCCTGAGTAAACTGGAGTCGCTTCATTGATTTGAAACCGTGAATAGCCTGGATTCGTATTATTGTATGATGATGATCCATACGGGTCATGTTGCGGTGGAGACATGTCATGTGAGTGAGAGGATACCGAGGTGTTTGGCCGTTAATTGTAATTTTTAATTTCCATGGCATCGTGCAACACTCTCGACCGAAACTCTAGTTTTTGTTGTATATCGAAACATTTTAAAATTGGACCTAATGAAGAAAAAAAAGCCAAGTCGTCAGCGGCAAGATCTGGTGTTTGATTACTTAGTAAATTTAATAACTCTCTTTCAAAAAGTGAATTTTCTTGGTTTTTTTGTTGCGGCCTTCTTTTTCTTTTTTGCATCCAAGGTCTTTGTGATGATCCAGAATCAACAGCATTATCGTTTTGGTTTTCGTGTAAAGTGTTTGAAGAAACTTGATGCGTTGGCATATTAGAATCTTGCGTATTATCCGGTGATACCGTATTATCCAGTGATACCGTATTATCCATAGTTACTGAGCGAAGATGTAGGTGTTTGTCCTTACACCTTTGTCCTGATGGCTTTGTTTCGCGCACCAGTAATAGGTCGCTGGTTTTTTCCCTTGGGGAACAAGGTTTTTCCTTAGGGAAATAGGTTCACTTTATATATATATATATATTTCTTTGAAGGACCACCCAGAAAACTGGGAAAAATGAAGATTCGAAAAGGACGTTTGAACAAATATATTTAAACAAATACAATGTATTTTAAACGCCGCTAACTTGCATATGATACACACTTGTCGGTGATACAATATTGACACGAACTATATTGACTGGTTTAAAACACTAATATGCCGCTGGGGCGAGTAGAGCCTGACGCTCCTTCAGTGCTGGAATTTGAACTGATACTAATTTTATGGACTTGAACTGCGAACTGATGTCCACTCTCTTCCCTCAATCACAAACATTCCGAAATCTCCCCCCTGACCCCTCGATGTATTAAAAGATATGTTTATTTTTCAAATACCTTTAACTTTCAAATAATTGATAAACTACCTGATAAGGGTATTTGTCTCTACTTGCGGAATTTTGGAATGCGTCATAGGGTAATTTGGAAAATACTAATCCTTTTATTGTTACGATTCTATGAAGGTTTTAGAAACTTGAGTAGAAAGTTATTTAAATGCAAGATAACGGCGCTTTACAGATTATTAATTATTACAAAGAAATTTTATATATCTAAACGAATATACAGTATGATACAAAAATAAACTAAATAATATGATACAAAACTAGACTAAAAATATTAAGTATTGTTGTTACGCAACAGTTACTGAGGATGATAGAATGGTTTCGTTCAGTGATTCATCAACATCATTCTCATCTGACGGAGTCAGGAAGCTTAGTTCATCATAAAAGATATACTTTTTGATCTTCGGTGCAGTACTTCCAGAAGGAGTTTTTTTTCTAGCGTTCTTTGTTCTAAAGTATGCATCTCTGGCTGTTTTCCATCTTTGTTGGATCTGTTTTCCTGAAACAATAAAAACCTTTTTTCTTTACAGATTTTTGGCTACAGGTCGGACATATACAGATCTGCATTATTCATTTAGGATTGGAATTGCAACAATCAGTGTAATCGTGGACGAAGTATGTAAGGTAATATGGGAAATACTACATGATGAATGCCTACCAGCAAAAACCTCTGATATGTGGCAAGAAATTGCTAATGGGTTTGTACAAAAGACCAACTTTCCAAATTGCATCAAAGCTATCGATGGCAAACACATTCGAGTCATAAATCCAGACGGTGGTGGATCAATGTTCTACAATTACAAGAATTTTGACTCCATAGTTCTCCTGGTCATGTGCGATTCAGATTATTGTTTTACATATGTAAACATTGGATCATATGGAAAAAACTCGGATTCATCTGTATTTCAAGACAGTATACTATACAGGAGCCTAGAGAATGACACTTTGAATATACCAGGGCCGAAGCCACTGCCTGGAACAAATACTCCAGTTGAACATGTAATTGTGGGTGATGGTGCTTTTGGAGTATCTAAAAAAATTATGAGGCCGTTTGCGCGAACTAATATGACACATAAGAAAAAAATATTTAACTATAGACTGAGCCGTAGTAGACGATATATAGAATCAACATTTGGTATAATGTCAAACAAGTTCAGAGTGTTTCATATACCTATTAATGTTGGTTTTAATGATACAAAAAATATAGTTAAAGCATGCTGTGTATTGCATAATTTTATAAGAGTTCGCGATGGTTATCGTACTGAAGATACACTTACAATTGAGGGTATGGTAGAAATACCAACTGTACCTACAAACAGGTCTGGCAACTCTCTGCGAGAACATTTTGCGGAGTACTTTTTGGGCCCTATTGGTAGAGTGCCCTGGCAAGACTCGTGTATATTTTAAACTCTTTGCTTTGTTCGTCCTGTAGTGTAGGTGTTCTAAGATAATAAAATAAAATACTTACCTAGTTTTTCTTTTTCTTCCTCCGACACATTTTCGAACAGTGTTACAACAATATCCTCCCAGGATTGGTTTCTTGCGTCTTTATTTTTATAGAGTGCATCAGATGCATCCCACAAATGCCTTCTCAGGCGTACTTCGTCTATCACTCGACTCGTATCTATATCCATATTGCGATTGGACCTATCTGTACACACTGACGGCGTTTACTCGGTTCGACACTAGAACGCTCACTAAAGGCAGAGGCGCGTGTACGATGGTCAGCGCTGACTTCTACGCGGCGCCGACGAGCGACGCGTACGGCCGCTGGGCTGTCAGCTCTGACCACCGTCCGCGCTGATAGCTACGCGTTATCCAAAAACGCTTGCTTGAATTTCATATATTTCGGTAGTCGGCGCTGACGGTCAGCGAGTTGTCAGCTTGACTCTAAAACCAGCCTAATTGTTCTATTAAATGTCTTGCCATGTTTTTATTAAGCCCAAATAATTCTATGAATCTGAACTCTGGTAAATCGAATGGTTCGCTTTCCATTCTAATATATTGCCGATGCAAAATCAGCCTTCTATTTTCATCTCTCCTTCTTCGCCTTCTTTGTAAAATAAACATTGGTAACATCTACAAAAACATACAATAATTATCAACATAATATAAAGCTGTATTTACAGTAGAAAAATAAATACATACTTTGATTTCTTCAATTTAAAAAAAAATTAAATTATAAATTATAATAATTACAATAATATAAATTTAAATGATAATTAAAAATAATAACTATTTTACATAGACGTTATTTAGGTTATTTCTTAATTTATGACTTATGGCATAGACATAACCATATAAATAATTCCAATTGTTCGAATTATTATCTCATCAGTTCAAAAATACGATGATTACCGATTATCTTTTGACATTCCAGTCGAACCGAGTTCGTAATCACTTTTTGGCTTCGATACGTATTCGTATCGAGTTTGCCTTCGTTTCGTTTTGTGACTTCGTATCGGAATTTTATAATCCCCATGCAGGACCCCTATTCACTAACTTAAGTGAGTAGTCGTATAGGAGTTCTCTCTCACAATTTTGCTTTAATGCGCATGTCACTCTCCTGAAATTGTAAAATCCGTATTCACGAAAATGTAAGAGAACGCTCATATAGTCCGTAGAAGTTATAGATGACAGAAAGCCAATAAAATGAAGATTGTATATTGTATACAATACATACAGTTTATATAAAAGAAAGGTTATTGAAATTTTAAAAAGATTGTTGACTTCTATTTGTATTTGGTTTTCATATATTGTTTTTTTAATGGATGATGACGATATAATAATGTTAATGTTAATCGCCGATGTTGAAGAGGCGGAAGAACGAGCTGAAAATAATATACCACGTCTCTATTTCCAACGAAAAGACCCTTTTTGATGTTATCTGAGGTGAATTTTATTTAACATTTCCGTCTCAATAAAGACAGCTTTATATATCTTTGCGATGAACTAACGCCATATTTACAAGTTCGTCAAAGAACATCTGGTTTGGATATTAAAACAAAGGTAATAACTTTAATTTTACTTGATACAGTTAGGTGTCTACTTATTATATTTTTAAAAATAACAAAACATTATTTTTAGCTGTTAGTGACCCTATTATTTTATGGCCAAGGCAGCTACCAAGCAGTGACAGGTTCCAATTTCTTTTTGTGGAATGAGTCAAAGCAGTGTTTGTCGATGCATTGAAGAAGTTACTAACGCTTTAAATAGGCCAAAATGCATTAGTAGATGGATCACTTTTCCATGAAATATTGAGGAACTATCGTAGCGGAGAGCAAGGTAGAAGTAAATGGAGCTTATACCGATTTCAGAAAGTTTTCAGTTTGACTTTTATTTATAGGGATTAGGATTATTGATTGCACTCATGTCGAAGTGTTACGACCAAACCAAGAAGAACATATTTTTGTAAATAGGAAAAACTACCATTCCTTAAATGTACAACTGGTGAACTATTTTACGTATTCACTTTTTTGTTTTAAATTTCATTATTTTAGGTATTTGATGAAAATCTTCAAATAATGAATGCAAATGCTAATTTCCCAGGCAGTACACATGATGCTTACATTTGGGGGCAATCAAATATTTCAAATGTTCTCGAAAGAGTTTACAGAAGAGAACCTCAAAATAATTTTTTTTGCTTGGCGATTCTGGTAAAAAAATTAACACATAATCTTGATCAGGATCGTTACCATTGTTTCTTACAGGCTATCCTCTACGACCTTGGTTGCTAACCCCATTAGAAAACCCTGTGCCAGGTGCAGAGGAACGATTTAATAATGATTTTAAAAGAATAAGGAGCAGGATTGAAGGATGCAATGGTGTTTTGAAAAACAGGTTTCGATGTTTACTTAAACATAGGGTTCTTCACTATCAGCCTCAAAAAACAGCCAAAATAACAATGGCTTGTTGTGTGCTACACAATATTTGCATACATTATAGAATTCTCGAGCCTAATAGAGATGATGAATTCTTGAATGCAGATG